GGGGGGTCGTGCTCCGCGGCATGTCGGGACCACATTGACCGTCACGAACGGCGGTGCGCTCGACATGATTGCGGTTGCGGACGACAGACTCAGCTGCCCCGACAGAGCGCGCGTGCAGTGATGATATTTTCATAAACTTTGCGCTGCTCTTCTTATTCCGCACCATGGCTGATGTTCTGCCTGTTAATCTGCGGTTTGCCCCCAAAATAGCGCAATGTGTGTGTGAGGAGGAGGGAGGGGGGGGAGGTAGTTTGCTGCAGGCCGCACGCCCCCGACAGCGCCCGGCAGGCAAGCTCTCGCACTACTTTACTTTGGCCGAGTCGAAACTTTCCCCAAATTGCACGCAAAGAACAGGGCCGCCCCTCCCCCTTTATTAGAGCAGCAGGAGCGGCAGCAGCGGGCGACGAGCACGAGCATGGCCTCTGGGAGCGAGAGGAGCAGCACGCTGCTGCTCCCACCGCCGTGCTGGTGAAAGGTCGGGCAAATCAGTGAAAGGAATACGGAATACCCGGAAGCTGTACCGCGCGGTGCCGGCGTGCACCAGGAAAACGTGTTTCCTGGATTTCCTGGATCAGCGAAATTCGTTCGGCCATGACAAAAATGTTTAACGATGGAAAATCTGTCGTGAGGTCAAAGAATCCGACGACGATGAACTAACGAGACTGACGTAAAGATAAAGTATAAAAATTATTTGGATTTGGGTGTGGGGGCATCGTCATATAGAAGAGTGATGATCGAAGTTTCACGTCTGTCTGTAATCACCATTACTCGAAAACGGGTTGAGCTAGGTACGTGGAATTTTTATTTTAACTTTGTATCACAAAAATCAAAAACTGTATTTATTTTGAGCCCTCTAGCTCAACAATTGACCTGTTAAAAATAAATCAAAATCAAAAAACCCTGAAAATTTCGTTGGGAAGGTTTTTATTATGTTTTTCTGTGGAGTAAACCGTGAAAGTAGAGACCAAGGCCTAAATTTCATCCGTTTGGCTCTATCTTTAACCGTTTGGGCGCTAGAGAGTTTTCCACGAGGAAATGGCCCTTATACAAAAACATGTTTTTTCCTGAGATATTTGATGGTCTTTGTTGGGGCAACTCGTCAAATTAATTCCACTAAAATAATTATTAAAATTTGTGCTTTTTGAGGCGAAAGGCGTCTTGACGACTCTGCATTTTGCCCGACTCGGGTGTCAGCGCCGCAGACCTAGGAATATGCATGCCAGCAGGCGCCAGGCGCGTCGCAGCTTAACAGTGTTTCGTGAGGTATCGCGAAGCCTGTTACGCGAGACGTGGTCTGGCGTATATCTACCTAGGAACTAGCATGGCATAGCTACAATATCGTATCGTATATCGATTAGTTATGTTTAAAGAAAGGCTATATTTTGTAGCGTGTGGGCAGGGTGAGGAAAATAGGAGCAGAGAGAGAGAGAGAAGTATAAATAGATAGACTGATAGAGAGACGGAGGGAAGGACACGGCTCGCCTCTCGTCACGTTGAGATGAGATTGGTCGGGGGCACTCGTGCGTGGCCTCAAGGCGGGCGCGAGGGATTCCTGCCCTGCTTAGTGTGCACGGGACGGGGCGACACTTCCTCGCCCTCACATGGGAAACGAAATAGAAAACACGACCAAACGCACGGGGATGCTCATCACTTGGCAGAGCCGTCACATAAGTTCTGTGCGTCATAAATACGAATCCTGTTTTGGGCCCTTCGTGTTTTCGCTGCATGCCACGTGCACTTTTACTAAACCAACAAAAGGAATGCACTTCTCTCTCTCCCCCTCTTTCTCTATCTCTTGGTGAAAGTGAAAGTGGAGCGAGTTGATTCGATGATTGTCACACGGCGCTCTTGCTTGCCGGGGTTGGGCAGGGAGGCCGGAGAAGTCGGAAGGATAAGCAGCGAACCCCGAGGTAGAACGACGCGCGACGGTAAAACGATTGGATCTAGCGACATGGCCGCTTCTTCCGGGAACGAGCAGCAAAAAATTGATCAAATTGGATGAGTATCTCAATATAATTTTGCTTGAGCGTGAAATGAGGAGAGCGCGGGCGGAGCGGGTGGAGGGGGTGGAGCAGCCGGAGCGGCCGGAGCGGGCGGGCCGCGCGTTGACAACACGGATCGGATGGCGCGCTCAGCGGCGTGCGAGAGCAGCCTGCCTGCCTGTCCGTGGACTTAAGGGGTTGTACGTAGCCGTTCTCCACCCTAAAATATGGAGCAGCAGAGAGGATGAACCGAGGGTTGGGTTCGCAACCGCCGAGTGTTAATGTTTGGCATTGTCTCCACCACGTGGCCCAATAAAGGGAGCCCGAGGGGGCCTACGGGGCAGAACGGGGCCAGCTGAGGCCAGGGGCGGGCAGGGCGCCCCCCAACCCTTCCTCTCTGCTCCGGGCGCCTCTTCGACTAAAGTGACTTGCTTGGACTAATTTTGCCTTCTCTCTGTGCGACGGAGACGCCCTTGTTCTGTTTCCTCACTCCTTCCACTCCTTCTTGGGTCCCTGGGATTTGCTCGAGCCTCTCTCTCACCCCTATACCTCTCTTTCTCGACCCCTCCCTGCCCCTATATCTCTGCTCCCTTTCCCTCTCACTTTCTCGGCGCCAGAAGGATTTCATTATTGCGTAGGAGGAGTACTCGACATACAGACTGGCAGGGTGGCTACATGAGGGGAGGCTCCTTTACGCATGGGGCGCGGGCGCGGCTGAGGCCCTCCTGGGAGTCACTGGATGACGACACGTGTCTCTCGTACAACTTGGATCCCGCAGGTGAGCCGACGAAGTAGGCCGCGTATATGTTACATGGGCACTGCCCGAAAAACTATGCTCATACATCTATACGATTTATTTTGCAAAATGTACAAAATGTATCGTACATGTAAAACCCGCCGCCAAGCCTCCCACTCTTGCTCGTCATCCGATTTCCAGTCAATACGGAGTGCTTGTACATTTACAATCTTGAATGGTAAGTGTAATTGTTCGACTTCTTCCGAGGACATACATATTGTACGGCAATTTTTGTCAGTGCGATGTCAAAGCAGCTCGACTAAGCATACTCTGATAGGGATAAATGAGAGAGAGGGGAGGGTTTTCAGTTCTACCGTAACACCAACAAATGAACTACGAATGTCGGCGAGCAGGTGAATCGGCCTACGAGTGTGCAAATCCATCTGCAAATTCTGGTTTCGCGACGCGCCTGTTCGCCTACGTCTCTACAGCTCGCCCGCTTCCCCCGCTGCCTACTTTGTGTGTGTTTTCGCCGTTAACACGCCCGGCGTCATTTCGCTCTCCTGTTGCTGCCATCTTCTCTCCGGGCGCTTCTCCGGCGCGTGTGGGCTCGGGCTATAAATGTGTTCCGCTCGCATATAAGACACACGCCTGCCTCCAAAACAACGCAGCGCAGCGCAAACGCCCCCGCGTGGCAGCCGGTGGGGCGCGGTGGCGGAGCGTCATGCGGGCCGCGGGATGTAATGGATATAAATTAGTTTGCCTCGATGATTTACCGTCAAAGCGGCAGCTTTCTCCTCCTGCCGTGCGTCCGCATACGGCCGTAACAGCCGCACCCACGCGTCCTGCCCCCGCTGCTAGCTGCTGCTGCTGCCGGCTGCTGCTGCATTTGTGTTTCGCTACTATATAGTTCGGGCAAAGAGAAAGGGGTGGGGGAGGGGCACACGACAGGGTTCTTGAATAACGAGCGAGTTTGCTTACCGCTCAAGCGTGTTCGTCACATCTCCGACGTTGTTTCGCCAACTCCGCTGCTGCCGTCGCTGCCGCAGCCGCACTGCGCCGAACGCGCCGCAGCAGTGGCGGGGGCTGGGCGCACCGCCTGTGCAAGGAAAACACGCATGTCACTGTCACATCAAAGGAACGGGATTAGCAGGGAGCAATCATTAAACAATGACGAGATAATGATCGGTAATTATTCTGAAGTGAAAGAAGTGAAAGAGAAAGCAAGATAAACTATTCCCGTGGAAATCCGACAAACACTCCAATGTTCCGGATGAACTTTCAAAACTATGCTTGCTTGAACTTTCCCAATCATTTGTTTAAAAGTTTTCTTCGCCCAAACGCCCACAGTGTGATAGGTTCGCCTTGCGTATACAGTTTCAACCGCGCAGAGGTATGTATTATCGGCATTCATGCAGTGAATGGCTGGGGCGCTACGTGGCGCGCGCGGCGGCATTGCGTTTCCTACTCGCGCTGGGGTTTCCTCCTGCAAGGCGCAGAGGCGTAAACAGAATAAAACGGGGAGCACTGCACCGCGTGGGCCGGCGTGGGCCCTGCCCCCGTTTATATAGTCTGGCGGGCGGGCTGCGTTGCGCGGAGCTCAGCCAGGTGATAGAGACCCCGCCGCTCACAATATTGCATTTTTACGGCCTCCCTAAACGCTTCCCCGCTCGCTTTGCCTCCTTCCTCGCTGTCCTTCGGTGCAGACTCCCCGGGTGCCGGCGCTAATTTTTACTCCGTGTGAAAGCGATACTAATGCTACTGCGTTATCCTCACACTACCCTCCCATTGCCTTCAACCTGATCCATCTCATAAATATGCAAAAATTGAGGAGTTCCCTTCACGCACATTTCTCTATGGATTACCTGCCTTTGCACAAATGACTCGCACTAAAAAAATCGCCCCAAAATCGCGGAAACTTAGCGCTTAACTCGCCCCGAGTTCGTCAAATGGCCAACTCGTTGCACATTTATTTTTGAAGTAAGGAACCCTTCAGACAAACAAAGCAATTTTGTTTCATTGCTGATCCAGCAAACAAGACTTTTTTGTATTTCTAAAAGTTTCTGGTAAAATTTCAGTGGTCCGTCCATGTGACGGGTCCCTCATTGGACCCGTCATATCTAGCCATACTGGGCTGGCCAGACGGCCAGTGCCAGTATCACTACCACGCTCCATCAGGCCGGGCTCGGTTCTCCATTATTCATCAGGAAGAGTGCGTTCGTTGCCTGCGAGTAGAGCTCTGACGTCGCCCGCCCTCTCCGCCTTGGTTTGGTTCACCCTTCCCGCATCGGAGATGGTGACAGCGGTTGCCCGCGCTGGAGAAACGGGTAAGGTGAGTCGGCAGCGGGTCTTTTTATTTTCCCCCTTCGAGGAACGCTCGACCGCACTCGACTGCGACCAGTCCATCTCACACTGATCTCGTTCACACAACCGCAAGTGCAGCATTCCAGCATTCCCAAGTGACAGTGCAAAAGTGCTATTGCTCAAGAAACTGTGCTGATCACTTACACTTGCTGTAAGCACTTGATTTCCATCAGGATACCGGATGATTCAGAGAAGACGCGTGTTTGCCTCCTCGCTCTGTCCGTGAGGCGCTATGGCCCCTTAGGTGGGCAAAGCCTGCGCCCGCACCTGCGGTACGTGCCATCTTCATCGCGCCTCGATGGAGCGTAACACCAACCTGTGCAGCCGCCAAGCATTATTGGTGAGCGAGTTTGAGTGGAAATTGGAGAGTGCGGCTAAGCCTCTCTGCAGAGGTTACACCTGCTCGTGCCCCCCCCCCCCTTCCCGAATCTCGCTCGGCTGGGCTACATCCGCCGCCAGACCCTTTTGCCCTGCTGCGCGCGCAAACCATCAGCAATTCCGTAAAGCCCGTCATTCTCTCCGAAATAGACAGAGCATTACGGAGGTCTTCGTAATAAATTTACTTGACCTGCCCTCTATTGTGTGTCTCGCAGCTGCTACTTCACTCCCCCCACCTCCTCCAGCCCACCTTACCTTGGCTCTCAGCTTCCGCCCATCAGCTGCACACCTCACCCCGCCGCCACCGTCCTACCGCCGGCCACCGCCACCGCAGCTTCTGCTTCCCTGATTTCTTTTCCGTTGCCACGCAGCAGAGCGGTGTGGTAGGTAAGACTACAAAGCTGCCTGCCCCGAAAGAGAAGCAGAAAACGCTTTTGCTTCTTTTCTTCATTTTGTTTTTGGTCGTGAGAGAAATAGAGAGAGAGAGAGAGAGAGAGAGAGAGAGAGAGAGAGAGAAAGGTCGTTGCCTGGCCAACAGCATTTTCACCATAGAAAGTAAAACAGCGAAGAACCAGAAGAATCTCCGCGTGATGATCATTTTCTTTTCTTTTTCACCCCTAGTGTTTAAAAGCGTTTCGAGCGCGCGTTCCTCGCCGCGCGCGAATGCGAATTCTTTCGGACTCATCAATATGCTCGAGGAGCTTGTGCTGTGCGAAGGCGCGGGGAACGTCTGGCTGAGAGAGCGGCGGCGGTGGTTGTTATCTGTGGCCGTGCCCCCACTGTAAAAATAAATTTCGTGATTTTACGAAATTTTGTCGGTTAATTTTCCAGTGCGAAAACTTCGTTTTGAACTAATTACGATACATCGTTATTTCACGAATTGCTTCGTAAAATCCAAAGCTCTAACTAAGGGGTATGAAATTTGCATATATTTTGTCAAATTTTATGACATATGATTCCCAAAATTATATGCATTCGTTACGAAATATATTTGTAACTTTACTAAATGTTTCGTAAATTGGCCCTAACGAAATATTTTCGTAATTTATTTTTTACGAAGCATTTCGTAACACTTTTTTTCGTAAAATCACGAAAACTTTTTACAGTGCCCGCTTCGACTGGCCGCACCGGGACACGTCACCGCGGGGCGGCGGCCCAGGCCGTCACGCGGGTGCTTCGCAGTGCTTGGCCGAGCTTCGGCGAACAGCTTTACTGCGGCACTTGCACCCTCGCGGGCGCGACTTCCGGTGCCGAGCTTGGCACCGAGGAGGAGAGAGGATACCGCGTTGTAAACACACCGGGCCGCCAGCGCCGGCAGCCCCGGCCCGAAGCCTCGGCCCTGCCCCCGCACGGCACACCGCTTGGGGCCCAGGGCCGAACCCAGGGCCAAGGTTGGGCTGGAGTGGTCTTGTTATTGGACGTGCAGCAAACGGCGCCCTCCATGGAGGAGGAGCAGAGCCGAGTCCCGCCTGCTGTAAAATAAAGGTGGGTCTTATCTCGTAGTCGAGCCGGTAAGGGCTGCGGGGGCGTGGCGCCGAGGAGGGGGCTTCGTCCGATAAAGACGTTTCTAAATTGGAGGTATCGTCTTGCGGGGCGGCGCTGTGCGGCGGGGAGGGAGGAGGCACCGTTGCCGGGGAGGCTGCTAGTTGCTCGGGGTTCAGTGGTTTGATGTTCCGTGTTGCTGCGGATGTAAAGCAGAGGCGGCGTTTTGTTTGAATTGTGAAGGCGTTTTCAGCACCCAGTTTTCCCTATTGCGCTTCTTGTTCTCTGAAATAAAATTAGTCACGTAGCCTTCTTGGTTCACAGATAATATGAGGAAAAAGTCACGGACGGCGATGAAAGGGAATGGATAAAAAAAACAATATCTGCTCTGAAAGTGCTATTCGACGCACGTGTAAACTTGCTGCTTTTTAAAATTTAAGATAATAAGCTAGCATTTGTACTCTTGGGCAAAAGTTTAAGTATTCTTTTTGGGAAGACCCACTGTAGAAGGAACTTGTGATAAAAAAAATCCGTGCTAAGATTGGTTGTAAAAATAACTAGCCATGATATTCTCAGTTTTATCACAATTTGTTTCACAATGTGAATGCGAAATCGTGAAAACATATAGTCTTTGAAATAATTATACTTTTTTGAGTTTTCGCCGACAACATTTCTCCTGTGCCACCGAGAGGGTTTTGGGTGTTACATATTGCAGGGGGAGGACGAGGGTGGTGGGACTGAGGATTTAGTGACCTTGAGCGCCCTTGAGAAGTCTTGAATTGGTGCGCCCATTGGCCCCATCCCATCGGCAGCAATCGGCAGTCGACGGCGCTCTCTGCCTGCCCTGCATCGCCGCGCGCAACACGGCCGGCAATACAATTCCAGCGCGCTTCATGCGTGCGAAGAAAAATAAAGAACTGGACGGCCGAGCCCGGCGGGGCGCGTCCCCGTTCCACCCACTCCATGCCACTCCGGCAGCCCGCGGCGGAATGTTGTCGTGCAGTAAAACGGATTAGGTACGGTTGAGCGGCGAGCGGTGCCCCGATAGCACGGGTTAATGAAAAACAGGGGGCGACTGACAACACAATGACGTGTTTTCGCTCTCGGAGGTTCGCGTGCGTTGACTCGCAAACCACGATGAGGTCGCGGCCCTGTCGTCCAAGATCATCGATTGTTGTTATGTGCGCCACCTACAGACTTCGTACCCATACCCGCATGCCTGCATGCTGTATACAGCCAGTATAAATACAGAAGTGCGCGAAGTGAATCTGCCGCCTTGTACTGAACCACCGCTCGGCGCTTGAGCCCAAAAGACGGTACCGGGGTACGAAGCTTCGCTATGCTTCTCCCCAAGTAATTTGAACCTCCTTCCCTGCAACCCTCCTATGGAATTTTCTACCAGCCCTAAATTAAGTCGGATCGGGCCTACACTTTTGTGTGGGCACATTTAAAATCCTGATGGACGGCCAGACAAAAGCATTATACTTACTCATCTTTTCAATAATTGTTCTGTGGACCAGCCTAGCGGCGGCACGCACGTATGCCAGCTGCTGCGTATAAGTTTTCCCGGCAATATTCTGTCTGCCCTTCGCTGCCCGCCCTTTTCCTCTTTTCTCCCCTCTCCCTTCGACCCCCTCTCTCCGCCAACCCCTTCCCTGCGAGCCCGGCGTGTGCCCCCGCCCCCCAATTCCCTCGCATGACTGTGGGGCACAGCCGTATTTGGTCGGAGTCGCGCGGTTAGCAACAGCAGGAATAAGTTTGGAATTGTAATCCAAGTTGAATTTCCCCTCCTCTCCCTCAGCGTCTCTCTGTCCCCGAGGTCTCGGGTGCAGAGTGATGGCGCCGGTCCAGAGCAGGGTGCTTCGCCCCTCCCCC